ACGCAGCAGCAGCAGCAGCGGCACAAGCTGGCAATCCAGCAGTAGGTGACTTTGCGAAAAACCTAGTATATATCAACACTTTCATTCTCGTAGTTTTACTACTAGCTAAGCTCAATACACACTATAAAAAATACATAAAAAAGCAAGCATATAGAAATGTTAACACAGTTTAAAATGTAAAACAAAGCACAATAAAAGAGAATAAATGGAATTCACAGTGTTGGAAGATTTACTAAATAAACTAAAAAAAAGTCCTAATAGAACATATACCCAACAATACATAGATGCAACGCAAGCATCAATAGCGAATAGTTGGAAAACTATAGAGCAACACGCAAGCACTGAAAACTTGCCACAGCTTCGTGAAAAATTCCATGAACTAAAGACTAAAATAGAATCATATTTAGTCTTAAAAGAAGAAGCGATTGAGCGAAACACAAACAAATCAGAAACAATGGCAACTTTTGATCTGGTAACAGCTAATAAGATCGTTCCAACCTTCAATGGGGACTTTAAGGAACTCAACAATTTTCTAGGGCTAATTGAATTCTACCATGACACCCTTTCAAACGAGGCTAACAAGACGATTCTTGTTAAATTCGTTCTGGCCACAAAGTTGTCAGAGAATGTAAAAAACAAAATTCTGGCGGAAGAAACACCGAACAATCTGGAAGCACTAAAAGCAACACTAAAAAAGGTATTCCGATCAAACAAGACAGCGTCAGGAGTGCATGCAGAAATTGCTAAAAGTATACAGGGAGCTCAAACAACCCTCAACTTTGCTTCCCGCATCCAAAGCTTAATAGCTTCCCTAAACGAAATTCAAATAGCAGAGCAAGGAAGCGATCACCGAGAAATAATTGTTAAATTAAATGACCAAATTGGCCTAACAGCGTTTAAGAATGGCTTGAGGGAGCCATATAAAACAATAGTAACAGCTGCTAGACCAAAACAGCTAACAGAAGCCATTCACATCGCGAGTGAAGCAACAGCTCAGCAAGTCCAGGCAAGCGCGTTCAAACCAAAGTTTGTCAATAACAACTTCAACAAGAACTATCGTACAAATAACCAAAGAAACAACCCGGGAAACAACAATACCAGGAACTATCAAAATAGGCAGTATGGTCAGGGAAACGGATACAGCCCGAGCCGTCAGGACTCGGGCCAACAAAACCAAAGACGATAGGATTCATTGGAGAAGGCAACTCCACAAATTTCATAAGAGCAAAAATAAGTACGAATATAGTAACACTATTGGTGGACTCTGGAGCTGATATATCTATAATAAAAAGAAAAGCAGTCCCAAAAACTCACGTAGAAACAACAGCAAATTGCAAAATAAGAGGCATCTCGAGTCACATACTGACTGCCAACAAGGCGGTTGAAGTTGACATTAATTGTCAAGATTACAAAATCAAGACTAAATTTTATATCTTGGAACAAATAAACAACCTAGAAGCAGATGGAGTCCTGGGCAGGGACTTCCTAATAAATTACAGGTGCAAAATCGATTACGAAACGAAGGTGATAACTCTAGAGCTAAAGGAAGGTCAAATCACTCTACCCATGTATATGCGATCAGATGATTTCAAAACAGCGCGTGGCCTAGGCAACAGAATTTATTATTACAACAATAATAGGCGAAACAATGACGATTACAACAGGTTTATGAGGGTTAAAAATGAAATGCAATTAGACAACAAGGCAAGCACCACCAATGCAATTTTAGAAATCTGCGAAAAATACCAATATGCATTTCACATTGAGGAAGAAGTTCTAACTGTCAACAACTTCTATCAGCAACACATTGAGCTCGCAGATAAAACCCCCGATATATAAAAAATTATAGAATGCCACACGTGCAGCTCCAGGTAATCGAAAAAGAAGTTGACAAATTACTGAAGGATGATGTTATCGAGCACTCCACTAGTCCTTATAACTCACCTTTGCTAGTCGTACCAAAAAAGAGTAACACAGAAGAAAAGAAATGGAGGCTAGTGGTGGATTTTCGAGCATTAAACAAAAAAATTGTTGATGATAAATTTCCCATAACTCGCTTAGATGACATTTTAGACAAACTCAAGGGAGCGCGGTATTTTAGCACATTAGATATGACAAGTTCATTCCACCAAATTCCGTTGGATCATGTTTCGAGGAAGCTCACAGCATTTTCTACCGGCAAAGGGCACTACCAGTTCAAAAGGCTACCATTTGGACTAAAAATCGCAACAAACAGTTTCCAGAGAATGTTATCAATTGCACTCAGCGGACTCAATCACGCAGCATTTCTTTATGTGGATGACGTAATAGTATTCGGGAAGAACCTTCAAGAGCATAATCGAAATTTAGAAAAAGTGTTAGCGAGATTGAACAAATACAACCTTAATCTAAATCCGGAAAAATGCAAGTTTTTAAAAACAAAAGTAACCTACTTAGGACATCTGATCACTGATAAAGGAGTGACAACTGATCCCAGTAAACAGGAAGTCGTTAAAAACTATCCTAAACCAAAAAATGTTGTTGTTGTTGTTTACTATTTCTTCCTTTGTTTGGGTTCCACCCATTTTTGCGCAGTTGTTTCAGTTCGCTTATCAGTTTTGTTCTTTGTTGACCCTTACTTATGTCTATTATCCTTTGTAGGTTTGCACACTCCCTTTGATGTTGTCGCTTTCTGCCGCCCCGCTTTTTTGGTTTGAATTCGGCAGTTTGTTGCCTGCATTCCGCTAACTTAGCTTTTTGCACAAGTTGCCTCTTTCGGTACTCTTGAAGCGTTATAGCCTTTGGTCCGGCTTCCTTTGGTGTTGGTGAGTACTCAGGATATTGTGGGTGGCTTTTCTCGATATGTTCTGGTATGTACTCCTCGTCACAAGAAGTTCCCTCTTTATGGTCGCTCATTTAAAGCAGGATCGCCATGCTTATCTTCGTATGCTTCCATTAAGCTGCCCCATGCTTCCTTCGCTGTGTTCTTTTGCGCGATAATTCCAAAATTGCTTGGATCTAACATCAGATAAATTTCTGCAGATGCACGGCAATGCATCTTTCTCAGCTACAGTCGCATTTTCACTCAGGCCGGATTCAACTGTTTTCCATAGTCCTTTAATCACCAAATATGACTTTGCCTGTTGCTTCCATACGTCAAAATTTTCTCTACCACGTAGTTTTTCGAATGGAAAAGATAATGCACTGGAGCTCATTTTATCCGCAAAAATCCAATTATTCAGCAACGATCGTTAATCTGTTATTGCTCTGCCGATTGCAATTAGTCAAACGAAATCTTAATTTTACACAACTGTGTGTAGGCCCATAACCTGTTACGCAGCGAAATGTAAAAACTACAATTATAGTTGTAAGAAAACGCGTGTTTTCTGTATGGTTATACAAACGGAAGGAAGTTATTTTTATTTGGCACTTCATATACAATCTGTCACTTACATAGCACGGTTGCATTTATATAATCCCTAAATACAGTTCAATATAAAATAATATATTTATTCAACATTTGAAAACCACAAATTACAATTTTTGAGGCTAATATGCCGCGGCGCGCCCTCCGAAGGGTTAACCAAATGCACATTTACGCGATTTCGAATTTGTATGCTTTTGACAAAAAGCCGTGCTCCAGTCGCTTATTCAGATCCGTATCTACCACGGTCAATTCGCACGGAGAAGACATGCTAAAAAAAGCCTAAAAAATATATATATTAAAAAACAAATTTAATACAAAAACATTAACTGTTTTAACCATAACCGAAAATTTGGTTGGGTAATATAATAATTTGTCGGTGCTATAAAATAAAAATTGCCTAAAGTAATTATGAAACAAAACAAACAGAGTTAATCACAAATTCATCACATCGATGTTGGATTAGCGGGACTTTTTTTTATCAAAATAATGTAAAATAACAAATGAAATCTCCATCTGCCATCATTGAAATGCAGCTAGCATCGTATACGCGAAAAATCAATGCTGCCACTTTTTCACATTAAACCATGTTCGAATCGTGGCATTTTTTGGAGATCAAAGGGTTGCTTTTAAGATTTAGTTTCTTAATGCAGAAATGGAGTTGCATTTGGTTGCCTTTAGGTGACGAACTTTGTATTGATAAATGTGCATTTAGAGCTAAATGCGCTTTTACGCCTAAGAAAAAACAGCCTATTATCTGATTAAAAGAACACTAATATTTCCTGCAAACACATCGATTTCCTCCGACAAAGAATAGTTTTCGTACAAAATTACGCAAAAAATAT